AGCAAAGCGTCGAACATCATGACTTCACGCTATGTATACAAATGGAAGTTTGTCAAGAACGAGAAGGGCGAAATGGAACGGACGATCAGGTTGCGCTTGGTACTTCGTGGCTTCATGGACATTGAAGCCTTCGATGTCGAAACCTTCTCTGGCACGGCAAGGAGGTCAAACCAGAGATTGCTCGCAAGTTCTGCTGCATGCAACAAAGCTTGGATCATCGCTTCCCTGGACATCAACATGGCTTTCTTGAAGGGACTGACCTATAGCGAGCTCGCCGCGGCAACGGGCGAGAAAGAGCGTGTGGTGTGCTTCGCACTACCTCCTGGGTCAGCAGCTGTCCTTCGCACACAGCCAGGCTTTGAGTCATATGACGAATCAAAGCATTGTCTTCGGTGTCTGAAGCCGGGGGCGGGCACGAAGGATGCTCCCAGGGCATTCTCGCTGAAGCTCAGGTCCATCACTAGGAGCTTTGGGCTACAGCCTACTTCATACGACGAAGAGTTCGAGATGAGCCCAAACCTCTTGACCGCCAAGCACGTTGATGACATCAATATGACTGGGAAGGAAGAGGCTATTGACAAGTATGTCAAGTGTGTTGAAGATACGTTTGGGAAGTGCAAACTGAACAAGCACACATGCACAAACTGTGCCGTTCGGTACAACAAGACCGATGATGGGAGCGTCACTCTTGATCAGGACGAATACATCAAACAACTTCGTCCTATCACACATCCAGAACTCACAGGCGCTGATCCTGAGAGCAAAGCGACAAAGACGATTTCTGATATGTTCGTCAGTCTTCGTGGCGCCCTAGCCTATGCGTTGATCACGCAGGTATGGCTGATGGTCTATGTTGTCTCACTGCAACGTATCCAGGAACCGACAAACATCCAGGTACGACGACTGAACGCGGTTACCAGGAAATTGCAGGCAGGTCCGAAGAAGATCGTGTATCAAGCTATGACTCCAACAGGAGAGGTCGACCTGCATAGCGATTCTGGCTATCGTCGTCTCAACGGAGATGAAGACGACGAAGTCAAAGGCTATGGTATCCGCGGGGCTAACCTGCTGAGGCGTGGCCACACGCAAGCGGGGAAACCCGTCGTGCACCTGGTGACGCATACTGCAAGTCTCATCGACTGCAGGTGCGTTCGAGCTACTCTGCGGAAACACTGGCAGCAGCCCACAACTTGGAAGACTGCTACCCGACCATTGTAACGCTCAACGAGCTACACTCGGGACCATTGACCCCCACACAGTTAAAGAACATATTGGAAATGGGTGGTCTATGTATCAAAGTCACTCTGACTATTGATGCCGAGTCTGTCTTAAAGTCTTTGTCTAGCAAAGATCTGAAGAAGCCCACAGAATGTACTCTGCTTGGGCACATTAGCTGGATCCGCCAGATGATGGAGCGCGGAATCGTTGAAAGCGTTCAATGGTGTGACACGCGGGATATGACTGCCGATGGTCATACCAAAGGTAGTATTGACCGCGCGTTGCTCCTACAGGTAATGGCCGGTCAGCAATCCTTCAAGCACGAGCTGAAGAAACATACTCCGTATAGGGCGGGCAGGTCGTCTCAGGACGGCCCTGCCTCCCGAGCTGGCGGGGAAACCCGCATGCAGGTGCGCTCTAGTAGCGAGGAAACTCGCCGGTAGCGAGGCTACTCGCGTGCCCTTGCCTTGTAGGCAGCCGCTGTTGCCTAGCACTGTTTTTCCGCGTAATGAAGAAATGCGGTGCTTGCTCGTCTCCTCCCCCTCCAACTTTAAACGGAGAGGGTTAAAGGCGAGATGTATATCGAGCATGCACCGCTGCCGTGCCTGGCTCAAGCCGGGCCCGGCCGAACATGTGATTGTGCCTCATTGAGGCGCACTACTTGCATCTGAGATCGGAAAAGACCTTTCTATTGACGATGCCCCTTCTATCCTTTACTCCAGATCCCACGCTTCATCTTGCTCTCTTGCTCATGCGATATGAGACAAAGCCTGGGATATGGGAGCGCCTAAGGCGGAACATATATCTTGGCTTACCAGTGCGTTTTCGACTTTCTTTAGGGTTTTCTGTGCGAGAAAGACATCGGTGTTCGAAGCGACGCCGTTCGTTCACAGATCTGGAGACACCTTGTGCACGTCGATGCTCGACGCGACCATGGCTCTGTTCTAAAAGATGGTGTTCTTGCGAGCGGATAAAAGGAATATATTAACCGAGCACGGCACGTTATCGTCAGAGTGCCCCCCCTCATTACTCAGGAGGGGAAAACAACACAGACACAATTAATCGTCGATTCCAAGAAAACTGGGACAATATGGGAAGTGGGGGGGAAGACAAAAACCCAGAAGATATGGGAGAATATTGGGAATCCTGTTATTTGTGTGTATTTATGTGTGTGTCCATGGGCCCTTTCAATTACCTCCTCCTGCGCCTCCGCTCCCCCGTCGCAGAGCGAATCTCGTTCGGAAAACGACGCCCGGAGTGTCCTGGGGAATGTCGTTCAGGATTTCGAGGTGAATCTCGCGCGGATTGTGTTTGCCAGAACGAAGATTGAAATAAAGCCACGCGACATTCACGTCGTCTTTCGCTCGCCGTGCCGGTGTTTTGCAATGACAGAAATCCACGCAAAAATCCGTTGCAGCACGTCTGCAAGGTCGATGCAGTAACCCCCCCCCAGTATCATCTCTTTTTGTTTGTTCTCTCTCTCTCTCTCTCTCTCTTTCTCTCGATCCCTCTGTCGGCAGTGCTGGCGCGCCCCTTTCGATGCGCTGCCACCGTGACGCAGCGCCCGCGGCCACGCGCGGCCGAGGCCGAAACACCTAGTTATATATCCCAGCATCGCCAGAGGCAGAGGGGGGAGGAGGAGGAGGAGGAGGAGGAGGAGGAGGAGGAGGAGGAGGAGGAGGAGGAGGATCAGGAAGAGCAGGTGGAACAGAGGAGGAGAAAAGAGAAGGGGAAGGAGGAGGAGGAGGAGGAGGAGGAGGAGAGGAGGAGGAATAGCAGGCGGGGACAGGGGGGCATGTTGAAGCCACCATCGCCAGACGGCTTGGAGGGGGGGGCGGAGCAACGTCCCTGGAGGGTGTCGTTGTTGTTTCACTAAGGATTGTCGGCAACTCTGGTTTTGGTGATGTTTAGGATTGAGTAGGTGGTAGCTGCGCTTGCGCTTGGGGCACGGAGTGGTCCCTCCTCCCTTCGCCAATTTTCCTCTTCGCTACTTCCTCGTCCCTCACTCTCCTCCTCCTGCCTCCTCTTCCTCCTCCTCCCTGGTTTCTTCTCATCCTTCCTCCACCATCCTCCTCCTCCCCCAACTTCTTCTTTCCTCCCAACTCATCCTTCTTCTTCTCTCCTCCTCCTCCTCTTCCTCCTCCACCTCCTTCCCCTCGTCCTCCTTCTCGTCCTCCTCCTCTTTCTCCTTCTCTCACGCAAGCGCCCCCCTCCCCCTCCCCCCGGCCTCCAGCGCTGGCGGTTTGTCTTCCAGAACCGTCGCAGCCAAGTCGCTTGGGGCCACCCCATAGGCCGTGGCACCTTTCTGAAAAGAAGCCGCGTTCGAGGCATCCTCACTCATGTTGTCTCAACAGGCACATCGGTATATGCCTCCTCCTCCTTCTCCTGTTCCTCCTCCTCCCTGTCGATCATGTTCCGATGTGCGGACTTGGATGAACAGGCATCGTTGCGTTGCTAGCCTTGCGGTCAACCTCCTGTCCTCCTTTTTCTCTCCTCCTCTTCCTCCTTCATCCCCTCCTCCTCCTCCTTCTTCTCCTCTTTCTCCTCTCGATATCCTCCTTTTCCTCCTCTTCGTCCCATGTTTCCCCCCCTTTTCCGTCTCGTCATCTCCTCCATTTGCTCCTCCCTCTCCTCCTCCTCTTTATCTCCTCCTCTTCTTCCTCTTCCTCCTCCTCCTCCTCCTCCTCCTCCTCCTCCTTCTCCTCTTCATCTTCCCCTCTTCCTCCCCTTAAACTCCTCCACCTCCTCCACCTTCTCCTCCTCCTCCTCCTCCTCCTCCTTCTCTTCATCTCCTCCTCCTCCTCCTCCTCCTCCGTAGCCATTTTGGCTCAAGCTGGTTCCCTGTATCTCTCGCAGCTTCTCGCCCATGGCCGGTCGTGCGGCGCCCGCGGCCCAGGGGAGGCTGGCCTGAGGAGGCATTGGTGGGATGGTGGCTGCGGCGGCCTGCACGGAGGCTTTCGGAGTCGCCCAGCAGCCGCAGGGTGCTGCCGCTGGGACGCCAGGCGCTTCTGCTGCCGCGAGGGCGCTGCTGCGGGCGCGCCAGCTGGCGGCCCGGCATGCCGACGCGGGGCGACTGCAGGCCGCCCTGCAGCCTGTGGAGGAGCTCGAAGCCGAGCTTCAGGACCTGCAGTCGGCGGTGCGAGCGATGTGGCCTCAAGCCGTAGAGCAGGCCGCAGTCGTGTTGCCGAGGGAGAGAGCGCCTTCGCCGCTTCCGGAGGCCCACCCGGGTGACGCAGACCGCGCTCTGGGTGCACGCGCCGCCTGGGGCCACGGTGTTGGCCGCGCCGTCCCTAGAGGCGTAATTAGGTCATTGAACGCTTGGCCTTCATGGCGCTGGTGGCCAAGGCGGAACTCGAGGGCAACCTCGATCACGGTCCGACGCCGCAACGCGGCGGGGCACTGTTGGGGGCTCCAGCGCATGCCATCCGCCGCCTCAATCGCCTCCAGCGCAGCGGTGGGGGCTCAGGCACCGAGGCTCGGCAGCGCCCTGCGAAGCAGGCCGGCGCGCGCAGGCGGCATGCCCTGCCCCACCGCCGCCAGCCCGCGACGCGCTCGGCCGCCGAGGCGGCCCCCGCCTGCTGGGAGGTCGCCGCGCGGCGAGGGCGTTCCGAGCCTGCGGGGAGTCGATTGATTCGACCTCGCCCAGCGGGCCCACCTCGCCGAGGTCGCGGCGCAGAGGCCGCTTGCTGGGGGCCCGCGGTGGTGGACGGCGGAGGCCGAATGGGCGGGCCGCCCCTCCGCCACCCCTCCCGCGGCGGCTGCCGCCCCTCAGGACGATGAAGGGCATGTTCCTGGAGATTCCGCTCACGTGGCCCGTCGTGGCGGCACTGTCCTGGCGAGTGACCCTCGTCAGGATGGAGCTTCCCCCGTCGGGGAGCTCAGGGGAGCTTCCAAAGAAGGTCGCCATGGAGGTGATGACGGTCGTCCTGAACACTACGGCGCGGGTGCCAGGTTGGTGCGCGACGCGCCTCTCGTCGCCGCTCGTCGCGCTGAAGGAGTTCCTTCCGATGTTCGTGGTTGTGCAGGCGCTGGAGGTCTGGCTCTCCCCCGTCTCGGTGCACCCGCACCTCATGCTGGGGTCCATGCTGGGGCCTCCGACGAATACGACGTCCATAGTGGTGGCGGTCGTCCAGTGCAACGTGGCGCAGGTGCCACGCCTGGCGGTTGCGAACATCACGATGCTGCTCGGCTCGCTGCTGGGAGTTTCTCGTGTTCTTCTAGCAGGGGCCTCGCTTTGCAGACGCCCTTCTGGAGGCGTGCGGGGCGGACGAGCAGATCTCTCTCGACGTCGGCGCCGCCCCCATCGCCACGTTGGCCCGCGGCGACGGCCTCCACGACCCGTTCGACGAGCAGAGGGTTACGGGTGGGCGCCGACGGCTTCTCGTCATCCAGCGCCACTTCGTCCAGACGGGGGGCACGGAGCGGTTGGGGGGCAAGCCTTTCGAGGTTTGGGTCCAGGTGCGCGGGGCAGAGCACCAGGCGCAGATCCTGGAGATCAAGCGCGCACAGAGGCGGCCGCGTCACCGAGCTCAGGCTGAAGGCCAGGCGCAGGTGAGCTGCGGCGTCGGTGGCGGGCGCGCCCTGCGGGGCCCGCCTCGAAAGTCTGGCGCGGCGCCTCTCGGCGTGGGCTTGGGGGGGCCGCCGCCTGGGATCGGGCTCGCACTTGGGTGCGAAACCGCTTCCCCGTTGGGGTGCGTGGTGGCCGCCGGCGGCTGCCGGGGGTGCCCGTTCTTGCCCTCTGCGGGGGTGGGCTCCGCTCGGCCTCGCCCCTCCGATTGGAGAGGCGCGGTCGGGGCGGAAGCCTTGCTGGGCTTCGGTCTGGGGGCTCCTCGTCGCCTCACTTCCTGTGCGGAGTGCCGTCGCCGGCGGCGGCGGCGAACCCAGAGACATCAGGGGCCCTATCGATCGTCAGCTTGCCGACGTTTGCCAGGGCCTCTTTTTTGCTGTCCCATCCATCCTTTTCATATCCTTCATCTCTTTCTCTTCTTCTTCCTCCTCCTCCTCCTCCTCCTCCTCCTCCTCCTCCTCTTCCTCCTCTTCCTTCTCCTTCATCTACTACTCTCCTTCACAAGGGTGGGTGAAGGGCTCCTCCTCCTCCTCATCCTCCTCCTCCCCCTCGGCAGGTTCGGCTGTCGGCCGTGCGGCGCACCGCGGACGATGTCAGGGAGCGGACCGCGATGCGGGCCGCCGCCGGCAGCGCACGCGAAGAGGAGCCGGGTCGGACGAAGGAGGACGAGGAGGAGAAGGAGGAGGAGGAGGGGGAGGAGGAGGAGGAGGAGGAGGAGGAGGAGGAGGAGGAGACAGGGAAGGGGAATAAATGAGGAGGAGAGGGGGAGGAGGAGGAGGAGGAGGAGGAGGAGGAGGAGGAGGGGAGGAGGAGGAGGTGAAGAGTGAAGGTGAGAATTATGAGGAGGAAGCGGGGGGGGGGGGGGGGGGGGAGGAGGAGGAGGAGATGTGGAGGAGGAGGAGGCAGGAGGAGGAGGAGGAGGAGGTAGGAGGAGGAGGAGGAGGAGGAGGATAAGGATAAGGATAAGTAGGAGGTGGAAGAAATATGAGGAGAGAGAGGGGGAGGAGGAGGAGGAGGAGGAGGAGGAGGAGGAGGAGGAGGCGGAGGAGGAGGAGGAGGAGGAGCAGGAGCAGGAGCAGGGGAGCAGGGAGGAGCAGGAGGAGCAGAGGAGCAGGAGGAGCAGGAAGCAGGAGCAGGAGCAGGGAGGAGGAGGAGGAGGAGGAGGAGGAGGAGGAGGAGGAGGAGGAGGAGGAGGGGGAGGAGAAGAAGGAGTGAGGAAGTGAGGGAGGAGGACGAGGAGGAGGGGGTGGGGAGGGGAGGGGGATGGGGAGGGTTTGGATTGGACACTTCTGGAGAGAGGGTAACACAAGACAGCTTGAGGGAGCGGGGATGGAACCTCTAGCCGCAAGGCGCGCGGCCAGGGATGATATCCGCACGCTCCCCCCGCCAACCTGTGGAACCCAAGGGACGCCACGCATGGTCTCTGACCCGCGCACAAAAGACTGCAAGCTCGAGGACGTTGCCTCGACGCGAACAGTAGGATACACAAGCGACTGTTTCCACATCCTCATCCACATTTCATCTCGACCTACCTCCACCACTCCATCTCCGACGCCGGCGCTACGAGGGAGGGGGCGGGGGGATGGGGGAGAGCATATGCGCGGGAAGGGGGGAGGCGGAGGAGGCCTAGGTCCTCAGGTCCTTGCCCTTGCCCTTGCCCCTGCCCTTGCGGCGGGCACACGTACGGCATAGCACCAGCTTGGTGGTAAACCGCTGCGCACGAACACATTCACGACAAGGAGGTCCATAGCTCTGAACAGCGTCGACGTCGAGGCCAGCTGCTGCAGCAGGAGTGCCACTGGAGGCTGGCGCTGACCACGGATCCAGTCCGGCAGCCCATGGGTCCTGGCTGTTGTTCCTGGCCTGGCTGGCCCCGGCGCGAACAGCGCGAACAGGCCCGCCATGAGCTTCGTGAACAACGCGAGCTGGACGCTGAGCAGGTAGAACATGAACGAGACTAGCATGAGCACCCTCTTCGACAGGGCGCTGAGGACGTACATGCCCAAGGGGGCGCTGGCCAGCACCTCCCTGAGGACCATGAGCAGCTGCAAATTGATCAGCTTCGCCGACTGGAGAAGGGGCTGAACGTGAGCCATCACCATCACCACGAAACCCAGGGGGATCACCTTCATGACCCCGATCCTCACCGCCTCGAACACCACGTCGAGGGCCGTGTGGAAGAGCAACTGCAGGCGAGGCATTGCCGTTGTCGCCATGGTCAGCGGCACCACCAGCAGCACGAACTTCACCAGCATCCGCATGGCCAGCCACAGTCGGGTGCCTGAGCACTGCTGCAAGGGCCGCACCCAGCCGGGAGGGCGCAGCACCGCCTCGAAAGCACCGAGGAGGCGCGCCACCGCGCGGCCGTCGGCCCTCCGGTACTGGGCCCTCCGCTTGGCCGCCGAGCGATTCGGCCAGCGGGGCCGCCGCTGCGGCGGCACCGCGAACGCACCGGACATGAGCGCCGAGAGGAGGGCGCGGGGGAGACGGAGCGGCGGCTCCGATGGTGCGGGCTGGCGAGCCCGTGAAGGCTCGAGCCGAGCTGGCACTAGGGGGAGGGGGAGGGGGAATGGGAGGGGGAGTTGGAGGAGAGGGAGGAGGGGGAGGAGGAGGAGGAGGAGGAGGAGGAGGAGGAGGAGGAGGAGGAGGAGGAGGAGGAGGAAGAGGAGAGGCCGGAGGAGGAGGAGTGCGAGGAGGAGGAGGAGGAGGAGGCGGAGGAGGAGGAGGAAGAGGAGGAGAAGGAAAGGCGTGAGGAGGAGAAGGAGGTAGAGGGAGGAGGAGGAGGAGGAGGAGGTGGAGGAGGAGGAGGAGGAGGATGAGAGTTGGAGGTGGAGCAGGTGGAGAATGTCAAGGAGGAGGAGGAGGCGGAGGAGGAGGCGGAAAGAGGAGAGGAGGGTGAAGAGCACGAGGAGGCGTAAAAGGAGCAGAAGGATGAGGAGGGGGAGGAGGAAAGGGGGGATGAGGAGGAAGAGCAGGAGGAGCATAGGAGGCGGAAGAGAAGATGCAGATCAGGGAGAGGGCGAGATGAAAGGCATGAAGAGGATAGAGGTGGCGATGAGGATGCTGATGATGATGATGATGATGGTGATGGTTATGAAGATGACGATGTTGATGCTGATGTTGATGCTGATGATGCTGATGATGCTGATGATGATGCTGCTGATGATGCTGATGCTGATGCTGATGATGGTGATGATGAGGACGATGATGCTGATGATGATGAAGATGCTGATGATAATGCTGATGATGATGACGGTGATGCTGCTGCTGATGCTGATGATGTTGTGTATGGTGATGATGATGCTGATGTTGATGCTGCTTATGCTGATGCTGATGATGCTGATGATGATGATGATTATGCTGATGCTGTTGATGCTGATGCTGCTGCTGCTGATGCTGATGATGATGCTTATGATGGTGATGATGATGATGCTGATGCTGATGCTGATGGTGATGGTGGTGATGATGATGCTGATGACGATGATGATGATAGTGGTGCTGATGATGATGATGCTGATGCTGATGCTGATGCTGATTTCGATGCTAATCCCGATGCTGATGCCGATGCTGATGATGATGGTGATGGTGATGATGATGATGATGATGAGGAGGAGGAGGAGGAGGAGGAGGAGGAGAGGGACGGGACGTGGGATGGAAGTATCGCAGGCGGTTGTCTTCCTCAATCCCCGAGTTGTGCCCGAAACGTCGGGCCGCCCAGAGAAACCTTGGGAAACCATGGGGTACACCCTAGGAGGGCTGTGCGGACGCACCACATGTCGAGACTATATGTCCCCCATCGTATATCCCAGGGTTGGGCCCAACATTCTTGGCCCATTCGAAAACACCACGGAGCCTGGGATAGGGGTCGACATAAACCCCTGTTAGATCACAAAGGGGTTGCCGTCGGACTCCCGTGGACCGCTCCTGGGCTTGTTTCCAAGGACGCCCTCCATATGTGAAGACTGTAAGTTCAACTCGGCATTGTCCCTTCTGCCTCCCCATCATCCCCCTCCTCATCCTCATCCTTATCATCTTCCTCCCTCATCCTCATTCGTCTCTACTGCGACGGATGGCCTCATCATGCTCTCCGCCTTCATCCTTCACTTCGTCATCCCCCTCATACTGCTCCTCCTCTAGCTCCAGCCTCTCTTCTGGAAGGTTACGCCTATAGTCCTTTCGCGCAGGGTTTGCAATACTATATTCTGTTGTGGAGAGCTGGCAACTGGATTCATTATGGGAGCGGCGGCAACCCACAACGCTTAAGGAGCACACAGGGCACCAACTACACCACTTGAGTATCGTAGAACGCATTGAAACCAGGCTAAGGAAAAGGCCAATCGAACACAAACACAGCTACGATTTCGCCACTCAGTTCACTGTTCCACTGCCCTGCTGCCCCCTCTCCCTCCGTCCCATCTTCATTCCCACCACCACCCCACCGTTCATTCCTCCTCCTCGTCCTCCATGTCCCTGTCCTGCCCAATGGAGGGGAGCAGGGAGCAGAGGTGGAGGGGGAGGACGAGAAGGAAGGGGGGGTGAGGGCGCAGGAGGGAGGAGCGAAGGCGAGGAGGAGGAGAATGAGGAGGAGGAGGAGTAGGAAAGGGCGACTCATGATGGGGAGCACGGTCAGGAGGAGGGGGGGAGTAGCGGGCGGCGGAGAAAAAAGGAGGAAGAGGAAGATGAGGAGGAGGACTGAGACGTGAGCTCTGGAGGATGAGTAGGAATGACTAAGCTCCTCTTTATCGCTCCTCACTCATCAATGCGTAGCATCATCATCCTCCTCCTCCGTATGCCTCGTTTTGCGTCATCATGGTGCCCCCTATCATCCTCGCAGTCCCTCCTCCCTCCTGGTCCCTCATCCCCCCTTCTTCTCCTCCCCGCCCTCCCCCTT